ATATATATATATATATATATATATATATATATAAAATTTTTTTTTTGGTAAAATGTCTATGAGATGGAAAACCTTGTTTTCCATTTAAGTGGCTAAGTGATATGCCCACAAATAATTTACTTTCTAATGTATAGGGTGTTTCATTGCGTGAGGACATGTCCAATTTGATAATAAAGAATTAAATTCTGATAACTAATTTTGAGAAGTGTTTTAGAGTTAATGTTGCAGATAGAACCTAACAAACTGAAAATTAAATCACAAGTTTCTGAATCAAAATACATATTTAGGGAGGAAGACTTTGGTAATCTCCTGAAGTAGGCGTGACAGAGGGTTGTCACAGTGATATGTGCTACAAAAAGATGATACCAGTCTACGACATGACTTGCAGCTTGATTATCAATGACAGTTACAGGAACATAGGTACCCTCTAGCCTCCGTTCGTGAAACTGAGAAAACCTGTCTTCAAATCTGTACAAACTGGCAATTGGGAATTTATGTAGACTATCCAGAAGTCTACTGGATAATAGAAGCCTTTGGAGCTAAATCTGCTTTGAAGGATTATTCAAAACTGCAATATCCAGATAGACTTAAAATAGAACATCTGAGAGTTGGCTTATACTTAATTTTCTAGTTGAGAAGAAAGACTAGAGATTGCTTTCGCATATGAAAATATACTTTTGGTAGGCTATCATATTTTCAAATACTGAGATCCTCTTTTGGCCCATAAGTAACTAAGAAATAAAATGAAGGGTATGATGCTACCGGATACACGTATAGTAATGTGTTATCGTTACCTCAACAGTACATAGATTAAATAAATTCCAGTCATTTCCTACCTCTCTTTGAATAACTGTTTCCATAATAGTGCCAAAGGCTGGAATTGTGGCAATCCTGACAGAGCTGTTAAAATTAAAAAAGAAAGAAACTGAAACTTTCTTTGAGATGAAAAACTGATTATTATTAAAATATATATCAAAGTAAGTACAAGGTAAATATACTGTATTAGTCTCTAGCAATGACAAATTAAATTTTAAAAAAAGCAGACCAAGAAGAATGCTCAAAAAGACAGACAGGATAACTTAAGGTCGCAGTCTGTGAAACTCACAATTCAGGATCACTGGACAAGGTAACAAGGGCCGGAGCAACCCGCTTGTCAACTAACGCTTCACTCATGCCTCGAAGAGTCAGCTGTAAACCAGTCAACATGCAATAAAAAATGGTTTGGTAAACTGGAATGAGAACTGGGTTAGCTGTGACTGAGGATGGGCAGGCAGACTCATTGGCCTTTCTTGGTTTAGTCACCCACACGAGACATTAAAATGTTAAGCCTCTGGTTCATGCCACTATACTTACTGGTAACAACATGTTAGTGAGATTAGAGAGCATCCCTTCTTGGCTTGGAAGAAATAGTCCATCAGCATGTTTTAAGTTTTGGAAACGTTTATTGAGGACTAATAAATGCTACTAATATATTCTTTTCAATATATGGCCTTGTCATTAGGCTTACTGTGAAGGTTGACTTAAAAAAAATACATGAATAGTAGTATAATAAAGTTTAAAATCAAGTAAGCATAATCCAATATTATTATTTTAAAGAGCTAAATCTAGTCTTCAGTGAATTTAAAAGCTGATGGTTATTTCTTGACAGGCGCATTTTGAAAGGGATGCTGAATGTAAAAGGTAGGAACGACACTTACATTTCAGGGTCACTGGAGAGAGTTATGAGAGCAGGAACAACCCTCTGAGCTACCAGAGTTTCATTCACCCCCTTCACCAACAGCTGATTGGTCAGCACAGGGGGTATTCACAGGTGATGCATGGAAAGAGCAAACACAATGCCACAGGAAGAAGAAAGGAACAACCAAGAGAAAGAGAGAAAACACAAAAGCAAAACCAAAATTAGAAGCTAAGCAAATATTGCTACTAGAGTGCTTTATAAAGGCAGAGAATGCTTAGGAGAAAAATAAAGCTTACACAGCCTAGCAGTCCCTGAAAACAGTTTGTTACCAATTCAATGACAGTTTGTACTTTTGGTCAAATAGTCTATGCAATTTCCATGTTCAATTTAAAAGAAAGCTTTACCTGTTTTTTTTTCTTTTAAAGAAACTAAAAAGAAGACATACTGGGTTCTATGGTTAAATTCTTTAAATAAATCTGATATAATTTTGTTATGACCAACAAGGTACAAACCGGACTGTTTTTAAACCAAACTCAAATGGCTAGCAGCCACCACTAAATTGCTTCTGATTGTTCTGACGCAAGTAAATTTAAAAATCACATACAAAAATTCCCAACCTTTTACATCATGTAGCTTTATTCCTTGAGGTACAGAGATATAATGTAGCCTAGTGGAAAGTACTTATTTCATGTGGGAATCAGACCTGGGTTCAGATTCTAGCTCTCCACTTATTGGTCATGTGGCCTTAGATATATTACATAATCCCTTGAAACTCAGTTTTCTCATCTGAAAATGGTGACACTATCACCTACCTTAAAGGATCACTGTGCTACTAACTACACATAATATACTTAAATATTGTGTCTGACAAAGACTAGGTATTCAAGAAATGCAAGCTGAATTATTGTGACTACTCAAAGGACATAAGATTTGTGATATATTTGAAAAAAGAAATTATTAACTAAAAAATGTTTTTGTCTCGTCCAAGTAGTTAATGTTTACAAATAGTCCTTTGTTTTGCATTTCTCTAAAAGCTCAAATAAAAAAAATACAATGAGCACAATTAGACCTATTTCTATAATCTAATCATAAAAACAATTCATTTAGCAACCAACCCTAAATCGCAGAACTAGAGGACAATATTGAGCTGTACGCATTGTTTTTATAAAAATCACGGAATTTTATGAGTTCAACAGAAAAGGGTAACATCCTAATCCTACGTTCTCTATTTCAGAATGTAAACACAAATTAATCCTAAATGCTAATCAATCTCTTCACTTTGTAATGGAACTAGTCCTCATGGAAGATGGAAGATGCTGTGGAATTTTTAGTAACAAAAACGCAACACTGTGTTGGGTTAACTATTCCTCCTACACAGCACATCAGAGAGCAGAGCTCCCTTTATCAGAGATTTTTAATTTTACACTAATCTGTTACCATTTAACAACTGATACACTTTATTTTATTTTTTTTTGCTGTACGCGGGCCTCTCACTGTTGTGGCCTCTCCCGTTGCGGAGCACAGGCTCCGGACGCACAGGCTCAGTGGCTATGGCTCACGGGCCTAGCCGCTCCGCGGCATGTGGGATCTTCCCAGACCGGGGCACGAACCCGTGGTCCCCTGCATCGGCAGGCAGACTCTCAACCACTGCGCCACCAGGGAAGCCCAACTGATACACTTTAGAATCTACTTCAGTATTCTGAAATAATTTTTATTTCAACAGAACCATGGATAATTTAGGCAGGAATAAAATGACAAAAGCACTTCTGTTACTACCTTAAACATTACAGATGTCAGGTAGAAAGAAATAGGGGGAAGAAGTTCAAATACATTATATACAACTTTCTTCTCTGTATCATTTTATAAATAAGGTAGCTTAGATTCGAATTAGTAAAGTGTATCTTGAAGTGTCTAACTTGTGCCAGCCAAAAAGCATTAAAAAAAAAAAAAGGGATAATCCGGGGGCAAGTTAATTTTTCATTGCACTGGAGTTTTTAGGTTTAATTTAATAAGCTGGAAAATCAGAAAGCAAAATTTAAGAGCTATTAATTATTACACATTTAGACACAGTTTATCATTTGATTTTTAAACATGATGAGGTAAGTACAATTATTATTAATATTTTAACAGATGAAGAAACTGAGCCTGAGAGAAGTTAAATAACTTGCCCAGGGTTTTAGAGCCCAAAAGAGGTAGAGCTAGAAAATGGACTCAGTCACATTTGTCTTAAAAGCCCATGCCTTCTTTGAGTTGTGGTCTTAATGTTACCTGATTTATCTCCTTATGATTGATGTAAGAAATCATTATATGAAGTTCTTTTCTGCATCGTTTGGGAAATCCATTATGTCACACTGGAAGTCACATAACAAAGTCTCTTTTATAAATCAATTTCAATAATAATTTGTTACATCAAGAATATATTGTCTCTTATTTAACAATGAGAATAATATGACTGATTGGATTTCCCCTTTTTGCCCTGCTGTCTGAAAACTCAGAGCTAAATTTAGTGTTCAATTTCACTAAGTATCTCATATTATGTTCCTGGTATATCCATTTATTGCTTTCTTCTCAGTAGTTTCTGGTCTCACACTAAAAAAATTAAAAATTTTAAGTGACCTGTTTTTTATGTTTTTATTTTGAATTAACTCATTTTGGGGGTGGGGGAAGCAGGCATAACTGTAAATTATAAAGTATTAGTATCAAAAGAAATCTTATGAAATAATTATTCTTTTAATACAATATTATTCAAAATAAGCCTCACTGACAAAAAATTAACTTTAATTTTTCCTACTAATGACTTTTATTGGCATGCTCAGTAAAAATTTTTTTATCATAAATGAACTTGAAAAATCATTAAAATAAGTCTCTCAGATTAGACTCAGAAACTCATCATCAACTGAGAGAACACTGAAAACTGCTTAAGCATAGGTATAGTTTCCAACCAGCACTGACAGCAGACATAGAAACCAAAACCAGACAAAAACCACATGTAAGAAATAAGGCAGAAAAAACCCCACAGAAACAAGTAAAAAGGGAGGACGCTTCATTTTCTTTATTTTCATTTATATTGTATGCTTCACCAGTATATACATACATTTTAGAAATAAATGGTTTAAGAGAAAGAAATAGCTGTTATGGTCTTAGAATAAAATCCTATTAAGTGAGTTAGGATACTTTTTTCTTTTGGGGGGTAGAGCAGGCTAAAGAAAAACCTTTTTCTTTCATGGTAATAATTATTTTTCAGCATATTGAATAATCAAAAATTATTTATACCCAGAAGGCACTTATGCTAGACATCTAACTGAATTTTTAATTTGGAATTTATCTTGACAAAGAACATGTGATTAGTTATTTTTTATCAAATATGTATAATTGTGGGAATAACATGTTCAGAGGATTTTCAACCTCCTCATAAGGATGGAATTTTCTTTAGATTCCACAAATCTATTTTATATATTTAAGAGTTTTAGAAGGTATATATTTCAAATCTGTCAGTGCTCTATCCTTTAGATTGCAATTTATCTTAAATCATGTAAAAATTCTGAAATTCAGGAAAAATTGAATTGTCTAATTCTTATGAAAATAAGTGCTTTAAGATATTTTAAGAATCACATGTGTGTATTAAGGACAATTTTAGTTTGGATAAGTATACTTTTCCTAAACTATTATATTATTTTGTGAAGTAACAGCATATTAAAAAAACAGTAATCATAATGATAGTTAACATTTATTAGGCTCTTATTATGTGCCAAACACTGTTTTAAGACCTTAGAAGTATTAATTCATTTAATATTAATAAAAATCCTTTGAGATGGATACTTATTATTATCATCTTCACTTACATTATAGATGAGAAAACTAAGGCACAGAGAAGTTTGAAACTGGCATTAAGTGGCAGAGACAGACACTGAACCCAGCCAGTATGGCTCTAAGAGAAGACTCAAGAACAGTAAATAACACTCTAAACCACTTTTAGTGCTCAAATTCAAGTTCTAGAAACATATATATATATGTACACTAGGCTAACATAATTTCCTCTATGATGGATAAAAAGATAGGTATTCCAATTTTCGCACTAAACTTGGGGAGGTGGCAATTTAAGAAAATCTAGTTAAATTATATGAAGTCTCTTCTGTCTTATAAGTCTACAGGCAGTTAATGTATAGAGATGTTGTTATTCCAGATATGAAAGGTGAGGGAATAATGAAGTAGGAATAATCAGTAAAATAAATATTTCCATAATTGCAAGTATGAATCCAACTATATTTTACAACTTTAAAGATATCTTATATTGTTTTATTTTAATAGCTGTGTGCCTCAGTAAATAGCAAGTATAGCCAGGAAGATTTACATAGGATGGAAATTAAAATAAGATTTAAAAGAAACTCTGAGAAATGGAAATGATAATACAATAACATTCAAGGAACCAATAAGGCTAGAAAATAATCTGAAATGTACCAAAGCTAAATTTCTGCCCCATCACACAGTACACAACTAGATACTCTTCAATGCCATAAAATATACATCAACATACCATAGTATGAAAAGCCTCTCTGCCTTTTTAAGAAATATTCCCTCTCCCTCTTCCAAAGAAAATCATTATGATCTGAACCAATAGAAGCGTTTGTTTACATACCTCAAACATTCTAGCAGCAGTACATCTCACAAGTGCTGAAGTATGGACAACACCATACCACAAAACAGTTAACAATAACTCATGGTAGGCTGGATTTGCACTGAAAGAAAAAAAATCAACGCTAAAAGTGAGAGCCACATAGTTCTGGTTTAAAACATAAAAAGGTATATTCTTTCATTAAAGTCTATTTTGCCTTACTGGTGTATTGAAAAATACTACATTTATGAGGAATATTAATGATAAAAATATTGGCAAAACATATAGAATTAGTTTGTATGGTTTAATAGGTTACATCTAAGATTCTTTAAAAAAGGAAGTCACCTTATAAAACTACAAACTTTTAGCATATTCAGGAGTTATACTTTTAGTTTCTCTAAGTACTTGCAATTATGACAGATATTTCAACTCTTTAATAGCACAAAAGTTAAAATTATAAAAAAATAAAGTAAAATAAAATTTTTACTTATGAGAAAGAAACACTGGACTAAGAGCCAGATGGGTAAGTTATAACCTCTGTGGGTTTTAATTTCTGCATCTATAAAAATCTGGGACAATACTGTCCTATTTACATCATATGGTTGTTTGTAGGATCAATAAGGATAACTCAAATCACCTATATGAAAGGGTAAGTTGGCTGTGAAGACTATCCAAATGTGGGACAGTATTATTAATAAACACATAAGTAAAGAATGAGATAAAACTACTTAAGCAGCTAGATGATGTGCTTATGAGGGACTAGGCAAATCAAATGGAATGGAAAAAGGAGCCTAATGAGCTGGCTTTCACTTGGGGCTCCTTTTCCAGTTTTGGGATACTGAATTTTCTTCAAATCTGTACTTGACTGTATTTCTCCAGCTGCTTCAAAGAAGATATGTCTGTATCCTTTCCCTCACTCTTTTATTATAATGCATTGATTACAAAATATTAAGAATGTACAAATAAGAAAAACCAAAAACAAACAAAAAAATCTTAAGTCTCAAAACCAAGAGATTTGGTGTGTATGCCAATCTTTTTAGACTAAAAGTATGTACTCTATAAATCCAATTTTAAAATTTTATATAGCTTTTAAAAAACTATAAGCTATTATTTTTACCCCAGTTCCACAAAAGAAGCTTTCAGGCTATCAAGAGGAGCATGAGATAATGAAAGCAAGGTCATTACATCTTCTAAGAATCCAATTAACAGCTTTCGGTCTTCTTCCTACAGAGGAAAAAGACTGATAATGAATTTCCACCCAGTCAAGTAGAACTAAAACCATAATTTCCTAACTATAATTAGAAAATTTTACCAAATAAGGGGAAAATATCCTAATTTGGGAGCATTTTAATTAAAGATATTTATTAAGCATATCTATGATCACAATGGTGTGAGGACAAAGACTATCTTGATTCACAGATTTAGACCCGTGCTGTCCAATATGGTAGCCACTCACCACATGTGGTTACTTATATTTAAACTAAAAATGAAGCAAAATAAAAGATTCAGTTCCTGAGTTGCACTAGTTACAATTTAAGTTGTTTAACAGCCACGTGTGGTTAGTGGTTACCTTACTGGACCGCTCAGATACAGATTACTTACATCACTGCACTATTGATTAGATAGTTCTGGTTTAAAACATAACAAGGTATATTCTTTTATTAAAATCTATTTTACCAATTTTACTTCCCATTAACTTTGGCTCTAAATACTTAAATACAAACCACTAAAATAGTTATCCTCCTAATAGTAGAAAATTGATATCTGAGAAATTATTAGTGGTGAGAAGCTTCACACTTGCTGAAATATAGACCACTGTGTTCTTAAAACAGTCACACCCTTGACTAAAAAATAATCTTTACTTTTAATCTTTCTTTTACAAACCATTATTTTAATAATCTGAAAAAATATTTCTTTCTTTTTTCTTACGCAGTACTGTATTAAGAAATATGTTAGAAAAAGCAGGTCTACTAAATAGGAAAGTTAAAAAAATAACTGTATGTTAAATTAACCTAAATCTGTAAGGGAGGGAATCTGACATTCTATCAGAAAGTAAATATATATAGAGTCAGGTATTTTGTCTTTAGGTCTTTATTAGCTCAACAATAAATGGCTTCTGTATATATCAATAGATCCATGAGGAAGACTAGATAACTACCTACCTTTTTTCTACATGGTCAGGTTAATTTAGAATGAGGTACAGATAAGTGATTGACAAAAGTAATGATCAGCATGAATAAAGGATGGACACAGCAGTTTTATAATACACCAGTCTATTTAGGGAAGAACTTAGACACTGACAAACCAGCATCAGAGCTATGCTGGAATATAGATCTCACTCATTTATAGTCGCTTACTATATTAAACAGAGTATCCATAAATTTGGAAGATAAACTGTAAATCTGAAAAAACAAGTGTGAAATGAGACCTATGAAATATACTTCTAAACGAGCATGGATTCCTTTGATTTGAAAATTTACTATAATACTATTTCTCAGCTTTGAAATTTAATACTACTCATGTATTTGATTCAAAATAGGTTTTGTTTACCAAAGCAATCAGGGCGTGATTAACTCTAACAGAAAATTTGGTTTAGTAAGAAAAATATTAACAGCTGGTGTGGGCAATCTAGGACAGCCACCTCAATTCACATTTTGTAACCAGCAGGAAAGTTCTTATCTCTTTAGATATTTGGATTTCATATAGTGGCTCAAAAAGCATGTCTTTATTCATTTATTCAACAAACCTATACTGAGGGACTACCATGAGGCAAACTTTGTACTTCATTATGCCTTAAAATACCATTTATGGTGAAAACCAACGTACTAACCAACTGCCAGAGCTTAAAAATGAGAGAGAAAAATATTGATATCACACTTGTTATTATGCTGGAAGAGCTTCTAAAATTAAAGATGAAAATGGTATTCACGCTATTGTGCCTCATAATATGTGCTAGGACTTAATCTCCATGAATTTAAGAATAACAATAGATACAATCTGTTAAGGTTACATGACTTAAAATATTCTAAACACAGGGATTCTCTGTGTATACATATTATGGAGTAGTCTTAGAAACTAGTGTAGAAAAGTTTAAAAGAATACTGTACTACTTTAACAGAGTTGGAGCTTCTGTTTCAAGGTATCATATGATACTGTAGAACTATATTTTAATATTATAGGATGGTTCAAATCTATTTTGGAAGAAGAGTGCAATAAATATGAACTGCTTTACTCTGAATACAAAAGGCAAAAGAAATTAGGTATTAATCGGGTAAATTTGGGAAAAAAGATCTTCCTGTTTGCTTCTCACATTCTAATTCCTAAAAATGCTTTATCTTGAGTCCGTAACTTCGCCTCACAGGTGGGACTGCCTCACACTTAAAAATGACTGATGTGCCTTAATAAACATAATATGTTTACTTAAAACAACGTTAAGTAGAGTGAGGTGGTCTGTTACATTGGTGACCACCAATGAACCACATCTCCTGGTTCATGCTCTCATTTATTTCCCTCTTTTTGAATCTGGGCTGGGCCTGTGGCTTGCTTTAAGCAACAGAATGCAGCGGTAGTGATGTGCTAATTCCAAGCCTAGGCTTTAGCCTAGCAGATTCTGATTTTGCAATTTTGGGAGCCCTGAGCCACCATGTAATGAGTCTGGCTCTGCTGTTCCACAGGCCCTGAGGACAGAGAGAGGCCCTAAGACTACATGGAGACTGAAGCTCAGCCATCCTTGCTGAACCCCCTACCAACCAACCAAGTGAATGCAGCAACATAAGCGACTACCAGCAAGAAGAGACGCTTAGCTGAGCAAAGATCGTGAGCAAATAAAAGAGTTATAATAAGCCTTTACGTTTTGGGGTAATTTATTATGCAGTAACAATTAAGAAAAATAAAACATACCTTACTAAAAATGTTATACTAAAACATACCTTACTAAAAATGATGATATAGTATGCTACAGCATTTTGTAGTTTGCTTCACCTAACACATGTGCTTTGTTGTTTATTAATGAAAAAATTATCAGGAAACACAAAGAAATTACTAAATAAGTGCAATCTAACACCTCTAACAAAATATCAAGAAGCACAGAATCTCTAAATTTATTTGTCCAACAGAGATTTTCCTCAGAGACTATTACTGAAATATGCTCACCACTGTAAATTATTTATTGAATGAAATGAATAAATAAATTTTGTTTTCACTTATGGGTAACATTTTCAATTATAAGCACATTAAAATACATAATATTAGCTATCTTTCTAAATAGAAAGTGCTTTACATTTTCCAGCAAAAGAATTTTTCCCTTACCTGAATATAACACGTAAGGACTCCTGTTGCATAAATGGGGACAGTAGCTTTAGTGAGGACCCCATTTCCTGCTGAGGAATCTAAAATCACAAAAACAATTTTAAAAATCTGAGTATGCTTTAAATGTAAAGCAAAAAGTCATAAGACAAATTATATTTAAAATTACAACTGGTTACAAAGCTTACAAATAAATATTATTACTTTGAAAAATATTTTGATTAAAACACATATCCACTGGTGGTTGTGAAAATATTATACAACTTAATACTTTTCAGAGCCATTAGCATAAACAGTTTTGATAGATGGGAAAAACTTTAATAACCAAAATGAGATGCTCTACTGTTATTTGCACAATCAGAAATCAGAGCTTTCTTTAACACTCTCCCAAGTGCCCGTATAAGCAGGTCTTCATAAATTGTCAGGTTTTCAATTTGCAGTATTCAGTAAAATGTAAAGGCACTCAGCTGAAAGGAGGCAGCCAGATATACATTTTACCTGCTTCCAGATACGAGATACTATTTAGTTTCCAGTGCTAGCCTAGTTCCAGAGCTCCTCCTGCGTCCTGTATAGGGATTTTCAGCCAGACAGAACCCTGATTATTTTCATGGAGTAGGGAGGCTAAGTAAAGCATGGGGAGAGGGGAAAGCATCCAATCACAGGTGAGTGTCCTGTGACTACTGTAACATAAGAGATTTTCTTATGCAGCACACGTAGATGATTTAAAAATAAAAATGTTCCAGAGGTGATATGACAGTTGCTATTTATAGTACCACAGCTCTCACTTACTGATTTTTAGGCACTGTTTTAAGTGCTTTACATTTACTTTTATGTACTCAAACTTTTTAAAATTACTTTTATCTATTTTTAATATGGTTTTAAATTCTTTTCAGAAAGTAGTACATAAAGAAATTGATTTGAAAAAATGTATTTAACTGTCCTGAAAGAATTTTCAGCAAAAAAGAAAGTTCCATTTTCATATCAATTCGTATTTGAGGTTTGTTTATTCTCTTGGTAAGGGTAACTTTTTCTTTTGCGGAGTACTGATGTTGGTTGACTGTGACTATGGTAGCTGAGAGGTAAATCTGAGGCTAGGAACATAAGCTTAAGTTGAATTCACAGATACAGACTGTATATACAGTGATTATATACAATAATCACTTCCTATATGAACAGTTAAATATTCACAGCTAACTAATAATTCTAAAACCTATCAGTTTCCAAAAATATATAAATATTCTTCACCAATTTATCATCAGAATTAATAATTAACTAAAGAGATAATACTAACTATTAGGTATTCCAAGCATTAACCCTTTAGAAAGCTATTAAATATAAACTTTGGGAAGCATTTGTCAAAAAAAAAATCTCATTGACATTTTCAAACTTAAAGGGAATCATTTATTCATTCTCTAACTATCTCTGAGGACAGCCCCAAATGGAGTTTTTCAGATGACTCAATTCAAATCATTAAGGTAGGACTGAGATAAGAATTACCTATACATTCAAAATCAACCAAGTTTAAAAACAAAACAGGGGGGCTATACATTTTTGTTCCTAACATTTTTCACAATTCGTTCCTAAGAAATTAGAAAAATACACATGGACATAAGATCCACACATAAAGGAGTTCTTAGGCCAGTGGTGCTACAACTACACTTCTTATGACAGATAAGTGAAAACTATGAACAGAGGGGCTGGAGCTGCCCATTAAAGCCTATAGTTTCTTTAAAATCTCATGTTTCATTTAAAAAACATATATGTGTATCTTGTATTCTCTTCAATTACAATTTGTTTTAAGTTTGAAAAGTTTTAAGTAACTAATTATGAATTAGATGCTCTTTATTTTTTCCTTTTCAGTATCTCGAATATACTGCTTCAACTCTCCAAGGGTACAAGAACTCAGCTTGAGAAACTCAGCCTTAGGTCAATTTGATTACGGTGAAGGTAGATACTTACAGTCAAATTGACAAAGATTAATCTTACTGCCACCCCATGGGAAGGATATTAGATGTGGCAGAGTTGTAAAACCAAGAATTCCGTAGTATAAATCTTCCTTTTCAATTGTACTTGCTAGTTTATTTATACACTTTACATACAATGAATAAAGTATTTTGTTGGAGTAAAGAGATTCAATTGTTTTTAAAAGTAATAATGAACAAACTTACCAATATTTTCTTCAGACAGTCTTAAAATCTCCTGGAACTGAGGTTTTACCTAAGCAACCCAAAGAAAAGATCCAGAAAGTCTCAAGTGCAACAGACCAATCAATGGTTAAATAAATAAAATGTTTACTACCACTACTTATTTATTTTGTTTTATAGACTGTTGATTCAAGTAGTCAAAAACATAACAATTCTTAAGAGCCATAGGAAAAAAGAAGAGTTAAGTTACTGAAAACAACACCTTTTAGAGATAAAATATTTAAAAGAATCAATTCAGGTCAGCAAGTTTTCTGAAGGGTCTTTAGTTTCCTTCACTAAATTAAAATAATTTCCAAGGTGATTTTAAGTGCTTGAAATTACTACCTCCTAAAACTGAACTTGATGTTAGAAAGGGTATTTAGGCAGATATTATATGATTAGAATTATTGAAAAAATTTGCTGTATATAAAAGGAATGAAAATGAAATTCCATTCATTTAGGGTATTCAATAAGTAACATATTCATCATGTGATATCCATTGGCTTAGGTTAGTCTTTAACTTCTTTAAAATTTAACTTTAAACATCAAGTACAGAATTTAACATTAAAATTTTAAGTTAAAGCAAATGCTTGTTTCAATTTTTTATTTTTAACATTATTGGATTTCAGATTTCAGGCCACTGAAGTCAACCACTTACTGTTAAGTGCTAAAATGAACTCCTAATTCTTTTTGTAAAAAAAGTAAAATAAATAACAGCTACTTCTTTTGGAGATGTCAAACAAATTGTGCCAAGCGTGATTACCAGTAAAATCAAATCATATTTGTTTAATAATTACATGTTAGTGAAAAATGTAAAATGATTTTGTTTCTTCTACAATAACATCAAGCTCTGGTTTTTGTCCTCCTATTGACAGGTCAGGCATATTAATTTACAAATTCAATTTAAACTGAGATGTAGACCACTGTGAAAAGATTAATCTACAGAATCAGACTTATAGAATTAAATGACACTGAAGCAACTTCTTCATTTCACACATGGAAAGATTAAGCACAGATACATTAAATGATTTATCATAGGGTACAAACATAACAGGGTCATAACCCATTTTCTGAATTCCGTCCAGTCCACTATACCAAACTGTCATGCTCTAAATGTTTCAGTAACTACAGGTTTAATAGTAAAGAGCTAAACAAAATTTTTACCCTTTAAATGTCTTGATTAACATTTGATTATAGCAATGACATCTTTTTATGTTTTTATTAGAGCTCTAAAGAACTGACTTAACAATATGCTATGAAGACAAATGGATTAACAGGATTGAAGAAGAAAGTGGGACCTAAGGACATTCCAATTTAATATCTAAAACTACAGAATAGCCTAGGTAGGCAAATGTGACAGTGATTGAAATATGTAGCATTTATCTCAAGTGTCCATTCTATTCCAAGAGCTTATATCTTGTAGCAAGTATTCTATACAAGCTGCTTTGATTCTATAATCACCTGAAGTTTTGACCAAAGCATGCTGAGCAAATGGCTGCTTCCTGAATCTGTGGTAGATGGTAAAGTACCAGAAGCACATTCAAAGAATCACAGCTGAGTCCCCTAGCTGATACTTCCTATGCTAGAAAGCTTTGAGATATCCACAGTGAGTAGATCTTATAACCAAATCTGGATACAAACTAAGTTTTGGCTAAATCATCTTCTGAAAATGAATAAAGAGAAGAATATTACTGACTAGAATTTTCTTTTACTATCACAGTTTTCTAAGGTATTAAAAGATAATTTGAATAAAGGAAGGGTTCACGCTTTTATTTACTCTGCTATAGCATTAATTAACACATTACATTTCTATGTCTCTTGCATATAAGAAAACATGGAATTCAAGTTTTTACCTTAGTGTTTGTAAAAATTTTGCCAAATGTCCGGCAAAGGCGCCAGAAAAATCTGGAGAATTCATGGACACAGGTAGTTGAAGTAACATTAATTTTGCCAACTATTTCTATAAGCTGTGGCAACCTGAATATGAAAGGAAAGAAAAATAGGCAGGGGTACAAATAAATTATTGTTTCCTTGCCAATTTCTGAAACAATGCAAATCTAACAATATCTTCTGTTCTGCTTTTCATAGCTAGTAAAATTGGAATGCAAAGGAGTTGTTTGGAACCCTTTGCAAAGTCTTCAGTTTATATTCTATAAATTTCTTAAAATAAATTTTAACTGATTGCCATAAAATATATGGAATCTTAATGGTAGGGTTCTAAGTATGGAGTTAATGAGACTCAAATCAATGGAGCTGATATTTCATACAAGAGCTTGGCTAACATGGCATCATCCACTTCAGCCTCAAAAATGAAAAGTCTGGATGTAGTTTAAAATCCATCACCACTTGTAGACAATAAGGCAGCAGATAGGTCTTCTGACATAATACAGCAGCACCATCTTCATAGATAAATAACTACGTATCTAGTAGTATAAATCTCCTCTCCTAAAGAAATTTACCATAGATGATGCCAAGTTATGTTTTGCTATTTGTTTTTCAATATTTTGTTATATTTTGTCTCTCAGTGCCCAGGCTAAATATAGTGAGCTACCTTTCATTCAACTGATTGAGATGTACCAAATGAATACGGAGATGGTAACTTACAACTGATTGACAACCCATAGTAAACTCTCCCAGCCTGTTGTACCCTCGTGTTCCAGCTGGTAATCATAAAGTTGTAGCAGTACTGCCAATTGCTCACGACTTCCAATAATAGTAGACACATCTTGAAGAGGCGACATAGGCCGAGGGAACCTAGTCACTATAAAAATTAGAAGCAAAATAATTCACATAGAAAATGACAGTTTGGAAAGTTAGCTATTCTGTCAAAAGAAAAGTAAGGTTCTGCCTCCTAATATTTATTTAGCTTATTATAGACTTTAAATATAAAACTAAAATATATTAATTAAACTATTTTTAGAAAAAAATGAAATACAGTTGATCCCTGTACAATCAGGGGTTAATCTGCCTACAACTTACAGTCGGCCCTCTGTATCAGAGGTTCTTCCACATCCACAAATTCAACCAACCACAGACCATGTAGTACTATAGCATTAACTATTGAAAAGTATTCACATATAAGTGGACGTGTACAGTTCAAACTCCTGTTGTTTAAGGATCAACTGTAAATTTTTGTCATATGTGAACAAATTTAGCAAATCTCAAAAATTAGGATTTTATGAGACTAAATAACTAGTAAATGAATATTGTAATGAAAGAGCTTGCCAGTGAAGAGTAAAATTTCACTTAAATTAAAATTGGCCACAAAATAAGATCTCAGCTAAAATATGGATTTGAATTTGGTTTTAAAAAAATAGAAATACTTGTAATTCCACCAGACTGTTTATGTCAAAAACTAATAACTATGATAAAATATTTCCTTCAGGCAGCAAGAAACTAATAGGTTGACAGCAGGGAAAAACTGTTTAATACCAGAGAATAATGACCTAAAATACATTAAAACTTGAGCTGAACAGGCTTCTTAAGTATTTAATCTCCAATATTAAATGATTTATTTAAAAAATGTTCCATAGTTTGATAAACATTAAGTTACTATAAAGTGTTAAAACCAGTGACCAGTAAGATAAAGCAAAATTATTATTAAAAAATGTATTATAAATATTATAACCAGAGTCTCATGTATATACTTTAAAAGTTTTGGGGGAAAAACTGAAAAAATTACTTTTAAAATTATGTAAATAAAACATGAATATACACTAGTATATTGTAAAATTTGAACACATCAATAAAATCTATGATTCTACAGATCATAATTAGATTCCAGGTTATTAAAGAACAGGTCTTAGATGGCTGTTAAGTGAATAATGCTACCAACAGCTCATTAACTGTTGAACAGAAATTCCTAATGGCCTAGCAACTCCTGCATAGAGGTTAACACCCTAAAAAGACACAATTAAGGATGCAGCATTTTCTCAAAACATATTAATGGTGTAATGATAATTATTAAACTTAAGAAAACATGCAATAACTTTAAAAGTGCTCAAAGACAAAATTAAGATGGTATTGTCCTCCTATGCTGCCCAAGGCTTTTAACAATATCTTAAGTACAGATAAAGGTTATCCCTTGCTAGCTGAAGTCTCCTATTTGATATCATAGTACACACACAAACAAACAAATAAATGAATTTAGGTAACATGGTATCCCATACTATCTGAGGTTTCTGCTTGAGTTGTCATTATCTCAACCTAGGAATCAAATAGATTTGGATGGTGAGGGATATCTGTACTTCATATTTCTATATTGTTGAAGCATGTCTGATAATTTCAAAAAGGATTATATCATATTGGTCACAATCTGTGATACTATGATGGAATGTATCAATATATTATTCCTTCAAAAATACTGACAAATTATTGAAAAATAGTGGAACAGTTAAAAGTAAATCAGATAATGTCAAGATTTATTACAGGCAAAGTGAGGTCCAAAGATTTAAAGCTAGGTCCAACAGAAGCAAAACAATGTCAAGAAATAAGCAATTACTTGGATAACTCAGTTCTAACAGATAAGCAATCAGAATGGTTCAGGGATCTCAAAACATTACTGTATTTAAAAAGATTTTAAAAAATTTAAGCATCTAACTTGTAACCATACAGAAGAGTCCCCAGAACGCCATTTTAATAGGTATTTTATTGTCAAAAAATAACCACAATTATTCAAATCCAGCAAAATAACAACTGTTATGACTCTTCAATGTATTTCCCTCTCACTAGAATGTAAGCTCTTCATGGCAGAGATATTTGTCTGTTTTGTTTATGAGTGTATCCCAAGTGTTTAAAATAGTGCCTGACATAAATATTAGCTAGTGCTCTGGAATTTTCATTATGTAAGAGAAAACTATTAAATCTTCACTTGTAATAAACTGTATCCCAAATTATACAGATGTACATACAGATAGACACAGAGACATAGATATATAGATAGACTATATATATAGATAGATCTATATATATATAGATAGATATATAAGGATATAATATTTCCTCATTTATAATAAATGTATTATAACCTACATGTGAGAATAATAACATTAACATTTACAGTTATTATTAAAAGTCAGAGGGTCAAATTAAGTCAATTAAGAACTTAAAAGATTATTTTTGGCATGATAAAGACATAATCACAAGGAAAGGTCACATAAACACCAGAAGGAATATGTTCAGGATGGTAAAGTAGTTTTGAAAATTTTCTATCTAATCTCTAACATGTGCTTGGCAGGCAATAGGTGACATTTAAGAATTATTTGCTAAATGAATGAATGATAGCAAGTGCTGTGGGTTGAACTGTGGGTCTCCCTTAAAAATTTATATGTTGAAGTCCGAACCCCTAGAACCTCAGAATGTGACCTTATTTGGAAATATTGTTGTTGCAGATATAATTAGATAAGATGAAGTCATACTGGAATAGCGTGGACTTCTAATGCAATATAACTGATCTTATAAAAGGGAAATTTGGACAGAGACAAGTGCATGTGCGTGCACACACACACACACATGGAGAACAGAATGTGAAGGTGAAGGCAGAGACTGGGGTGATGTATCTACAAGCCAAAGAACACCAGAGATTGCCAGCAAACCACCAGAAGCGAGGAGAGAGGCATGAAACAGCTTTTCTCTCACAGCCTTCAGAAGGAACCAACCCTACTGACAACTTGATCTCAGGCTTCTAGAGAGCTCACTTCAGAACTGTGAAACAATAAATATCTGCTGTTAAAGTACTAAGTTTATGGTACTTCGTTATGCTGGCCCCAGCAGAACAATACAGCAAGACAGGAAGGAAAAGGGAGGGAATTAGAAAGACAGGAAAGTCCCTAGGCAGATGAAGTGTCTTAATGAGTGAAGGGGTAGAACCTAAAGTAGCCAGCTGTGAGCGCTTTATGAAGATTTATCTTAAAAGTTTGAATTTTCATGCTCCTCAATATCATTAAAAAATATTAAACTAACTCTACCCCATCCATTCTCAATTTTCGAAGTAAAACTGGCATTCTAACAGTATACACCATTTTTATGCTGTGCTTTGTGTATTCTTGGACACACTGCTTCATATCCCAAAGATTATAGGTAGCCCAGTTTACTTTACATGAAAACTATAATTCTAAAAACACTGTGTGTTGATTTTCTCAATGTTATAATTCTTTTGTCTATCAGAAGCCTGTAAGAGACACGGCTAATTCACAAATCTGAAAAAGCTGCAAAGGAATCTCATACATAGTAATAACTTGTCTATAGCCGTTTATCCTGGGGGTTAGGTGCAGTGGGGCTACCACGTACCATGGATCAAAGGTCACTTACTAGTTAGCTAGACTTTGAGCTAAGAAAATACTGGCTCTTGCTATCAATTTCATGTATTTCTGAAAATAAATCATATTCTTTTTTTGGAAAAAAAAGAAACTGTGCTGCATATGCTTATATTCCTATCAAGGACATAGCAGGAAAGAGTAATTACATTTACCTTCCCCTACTGAAAATAAGATGAAATAGCTGGGGAAGAAAAAATATAAAGAAAGTGGAAATGAAAAGCTTCATAAACTGGTCCTGGTAACTATTAATTCAGCTCTATTAATGAAAGAAAATGCTTATTTCTGACTTATAACACTGAAAAAAAGGCTATAATAAAAGCCTCTAGATTAAGAATGGAAAGAAAGTACAAATATTATAAAATACTACCACGAGGCTTATCCATAAAAGATGAAGCCATATAGTTCACCCCAGATATCATACAATCTACGACCATGCAGTTCCACACATATAATACATTTTAGTAATTATGCTGTCATATAAAGTGACTTTTACATTTTTAATCAGAAACGATTCTTTGGAAAGCTAAGCTGTTAATATTCTACATCTTCCTTCCATAATTTAAGTTCAGTACCTTCTATCTGTGGCACTTCACCATGAAGCTTGGCTTTGCTGGAGAAAGGTGCGTTCTGTAGCACTAATGCAAAGAGAGATGGGATCAAGGACTGCAAGGCAGACAGATACATGTGGAGCTTATGTTCATCCAGCCCATGCTCTCCTTCCTGAAATATAAGGAGGTGAAAGCTAACTTTAGACTTCTGAGGTTATGTATTTATGATGTTCTTCCTTTCTGTGGCAAACAATAAGACATTTAAGGACATGTATGTTAGACTCAAAGCATCACACCTAATGGAGATGACCATGAATCTTTTCTGAATTTCTCTGAGTATGAGAAAATGTGAAGTACTAAGGCATTGTGGAAGTAATAGAATCTTTTGTATGGAAAACTTTAGGGTGAACATCAGTCATTTCATTTGTATGGAACTTCTTTTACAGGTTTTTTTCTTTTAAGAGGGTCTTATCTTTTGACATTTTATAAGTCAGGTTAAAGAAATTAAAGTGAGCCACAGGAATCATTTTAAATGCTCAACTGCTAAACGAGCAGGAGTACTTGCTATTCCTAACTTCGTTTATAGATTTGGTGACAACTGTATTTGCCAGCATTGGAAGCACTTTAAAATAATTCAATGTATAGATAAAATGTAGGAGAAGAAATGTCAAAAGAAAACAAAAGAAAGAGATAACAGAAAAAAAAGAGTAAAAGGATCACTATGGTACACAGAAACCAAATATTAAAGTGAAAAATAGAATCATTAGAGAGGAAAGCATTTATTGCTGTTCAAATCCACTTGAGATGTCATTACTATATTATAAATAACAACTGTGTCAGAAATATCAGATATGTTAGTTTTTTACTATCAAGTTCTAAATTAGTTAATTTCTTCATGTAAGAATTACCTTGTGTGCTGAATACTGCAGCTATGTTTAGCAACAGTGTGGAATTAGCTGTGTTATGAAATCGAACTAAAAAAAAAAACAGGTACAGGGCTTCCCTGGTGGTGCAGTGGTTAAGAATCCGCCTGCCAGTGCAGGAGAAACGGGTTCGAGCCCTGGTCCGGGAAGATTCCCACATGCTGCGGAGCAATTAAGCCTGTGTGCCACAACTACAGAGCCTGTGCTCTAAAGCCCGCAAGGCACAACTACTGAGCCGGCGTGCTGCAACTACTGAAGCCCGCACGCCTAGAGCCTGTGCTCCGTAACGAGAGAAGCCACCACAATGAGAAGCCTGCGCACTGCACGAAGAGTAGCCCTGGCTCGCTGCAACTAGAGAAAAGCTCACGCGCAGCAAGGAAGATCCAATGCAGCCAAAAATAAATAAATAAATTTTTATAAAACCCCAAAAAACAAACAAACAAAAATACCAGGTACAGATAATTCTCAGATAGAAGGAATGCAAATATTAAAAAAAAAAATACTTAAAAAAATTCCCTAGGTTTCATAAAAAGGAGTACTTCAGTATAGTTGTCTATTTATAGTTTTTTTAACACCCATTTTGAAATTTATAGAAAAAATAGCCCAATTTTTAAATTAAATGAATACATGTGTATACATATAAGACTATCTACAGAGTAGTTAAAATACGTTATGTTAAGAGCCTTTAAAATCTGGGGGTAAAAAGGGCAAGAGTTTGGTTTTAGAGACTGATATCAGATCCTGGTTCTGTCATTTGACAGCTTTGGGACCCTGAGCAAATTACTTAAACACTCAGTTTCCACACAAAAAACAAAATACAATTCAAATGGTTATAAGAATGAAATAACATACTTTATAAAGTATCTACCTTAATGGTACATAATCAATACGCACTAAAGAAATGTTTTTCTTCTAGACTTTAAAAGAGACTTTTAATACAAAAATTAGAACAAGAAGTTTCTATTGTTTCTTCAATTCTTTTACTTGGGAAGAATGGAAAGTTCCCTTTAAAAAGTCAGGACGTGAACTACTGCAGTGAAAAAAAGGTAACGCATTTTGACACTGTATAAATAAGAAAACTTTAGAGACTCATATTTTAGTTATCTCTGCATTCTGGGAACTGATGCTGACACTTTATCTAAAATATTTAAGTCTTCAGAAGAGGCTAGGAAGAGGTAGCACTGTGAATAGTATACGAGTTAGTGCCACAAAGGTGCTATTTTAGCTAAAAAAAGGCAGACCATGCTCTTTCTCCTCTAGCTTCAGTCAAGCAAAACTTCCTCAAATCTCCCTTGGCTCCAGACCAATAGAATCTTTAACAGGTAGTTAATTAGAATGTTCACTAAGTGGTACTTTCTGTCTTTGTTCCCCCAACATTCTCTCAAGATGCCTTAGAACACACCTTTTAAATTTCTATTAACTATATAAATAAAGGAAGTATTTACCCTGAGAAGTTTTTCAATCTTGTTCAGCAATGTAGGTATAAGATGAGACTGTAAATTTCCAAGTTCTGTAGTCCAGGCAGCATAAGCTGGTAAAAATACTTGATGTGTTGCACTAACTACTCTTTCTGAGGGGTCACCCAAGGCTGACAGCAACAATTCAAAACCCTGCCAAAAGGAAATAGGCAAAATGTAGATTAAAAAAAAAATACCTAAAAAACATAATAATAGGTAATAAATATACACTGCAGTACATTTAGCAGACATTTTAAGCAAGAAAGAAAACCATTCATAATCCTATCCTTCCCAATTTCTTTAAAGAAAAATGTCATTTATCCGTTGATGGGAAAGCCAAAGAGAAAGGGTGGTAACATGGTATGCTTGTTGCCAATTTACTGCCAGAAAGCTGTGTCAGATACTATAAATGAATCAAAGCATCTCCTCCTTGAAATAGCAGAACTGAAACCAGGCAGCCAACTTCAACTGGTTAAAGTTGACACGTCTGCCATCCCTACTATAGATTATAGGATATCTGAATCAGAGATTTGGAATATTATACTATTTGGAATTTTATAATGAAATAAATGGGATTCGTTCTGAAAAACATACCTGTTGATATTTGTCTGGATCATCAATGTATCCCATAATGATACCGAGGCTTTTGATCACAGCTTCTCTTACCAAATCTGCCTTATCTTCCATTAACATCTGTTGCAACATTGAAAGAACCAAGGAGCTACGGATTTCTTTCTGAAAATAAACAGGAACATGTTTTACTATTTATTTACACTAGCAGCAGAAAAGGATAGAAAATAACGAGATATCCATGTATTCAAAATCTAGATTAAATATATATTAACATGTTGCTATGTTTGCTTCAAGTCCTCATTTTTGAAAGACATAAGACATTAGAGATACAGCTGAAATATCACTCTTCTCCACCCTCTCCCCCTTCCTCCAACTCCCTCTCTAAAGATAACATCTACCCTGAACTTGGTATTAATCATCTCCCAGCATATTTTTGTATTTTTACTAAATATGTGTCAATCCCTCAAACCTTTACAGTGCCCTTTTGGCCAATCAACAGTCAACACTCTGCTATTAACAGACAATGACTCTTCTACCACTACCTGTACAACTCAGGTAAGAGCACTGACAGTCATAACAATAGGAGGGATTACAAAAATCACTCTGGCAAGCAAAACATTTGCCTGGGGTAGGAGTGTGGAAACATAAAATCCTGGTGTTCTGTTTTCTGAAGAACTGAGAAAAAATATTAAAACAGGATGATGAAACATGAGAGTAAACTTTAAAAGTGCTTAAAAAACTGTGTTGATATTTTCAGATGCTATTTAATATAATGTCAACCACTGTTGTGTCTTAATTTCACACAATTTTTTCCCCATGGTTTTAGCCTAATTAATGTCTGAGGTTAGAATAAAGTGTTACTGTTATACAAATTCTTGCCCTTCCTTCCCTTTTTTTGTACCATTATTGTAAGTTGACAAATTTATAAAATTCTTTAAACTTGTTTAAGTTACTTTTACATATAGTTAAAATAAAAGGATATGATCATTTTCATAAATTTACAGTGTGATCTGGTATGCAAAGCAAAGTCTTAAAAGACATTTTTAAATGACCTAGCTTTTGTTTTGACTTTTAGAGACAAAAATATATGTAAGTTTAGCAAATTTTGGTTACATTTAGGTTGGTGAATATGCCTTTTGGTACAGCCATGTTTATTTATCCTTTAGGCTAAAATTGTTCCCCCCAATTTTTTTTAAAGTGTATTAAAAGGGCTTTTTGGTTAATATCAGCACAGGCAAAAGGACAGAGGTGAGTAAACTTCAGCTGGGTATTTGCTTTGCAATGATCTAGCCTGAGGTCAACTGTGGCAGTTAGTTTCAGTATATGCTAAGGGAACCCACAGGACAAGTCAGGATGCTTTACTCCATTTAAGCCATGACCACACTGAGGTTTTACTGTTACCAGTTACAGTGGGGAACAAGAAAGTGGAGGTCCATGTAGGAAACATTAAGTCCATTATTAATACAGCTTAGCATTCTAGTACTAGGAGCAGTGTGGAACAGTTTCCTTCTTCTTTGATAGCATGTGATGTTCATCTCTGTCTTGGAACAATAAATCATAGGATGCTCAAACTCACTCATGTATCACAACAATAAGATAATTTTCTCTTAAAAGATAGGCAAACATTAAAAATAAAGTGATTATGCCCAGTTGAAGTATGGTAAGATAAGAACTCCAACGCACTGTTGACAGGAGTACAATCTGCGCCATCTTGGTTGGGGGCAATTTAACACTGTCAAAATAAAAAATGCAAATGTTAAAAGCAGCAAGATACACAGGTATTAATGGTTTGTGAAATTTAAAAATGAAGATTCCCTTGTGTACATTTTAAAATTTCACATTCTGTTAATATCTCTGTATTTTGCTTCTTTTAACACACAGAGTAATTAATTCTGGGTAAGAAAAATTTAAAGGATGTAAAAATGCAAGCTGGTAATATGAATAAATTTTTATTCTCTGTAAGTATTAATTAAAAATCATTACCCAAAGATGTAATCTTTGGGGATAATGACTAGGGTCAGGGAAGTCTTTGACTTTCATTTTATTCTTTTCTATACTGCATGAAAATTTATTTTTAACAAAATAAAAAAAATGTTACTGGGAGTGAGACTATGAATTATTCTTTATATTTTTCTGAATAAAAAAACCAAAATTTTTATTTATTTATTTTTAAAATTTATTTTATTTATTATTTTTGGCTGTGTTGGGTCTTCGTTGCGGTGTGCTGGCTTCTCATTGTGGTGGCTTCTCCTGTTGTGGGCCACAGGCTCTAGACGTGTGGGCTTCAGTAGTTGCAGCACATGGGCTCAGTAGTTGTGGCTCACGGGCTCCAGAGCACAGGCTCGGTAGTTGTGGCGCATGGGCTTTGTTGTGGCGCATGGGCTTTGTTGCTCCGCAGCATGTGGGATCTTCCTGGACCAGGGATCGAACCCGTGTCCCCTGCATTGGCAGGTGGATTCTCAACCACTGGGCCACCAGGGAAGCCCCAAAATTTTACTTTTTAAAAAGACAATTGACTATTGGTTTCTTACTCTTCACCAAAGATTATGAGGTAACAGTAAATGCAACATAAACAGCTCCTGTATTATACAATTCCAATTTTTGTACCCCTTTAAAAGAACAATCTTACAGAAAGGACCCTTTAAGGCAGGGGTCAGCAAACTTTCTGTAATGGGCCAGATGGTATATACTCTTGGCTTTGGGGCCAAAAAGTCTCTGTTGCAGCTATTCAGCTCTGCTGTTGCAGTGTGATAGCGGACACAGACAGTACACAACAAATGGGTGTGCTTCTGTACCAATAAAAGTTTATTTATAAAAACAGGCTGTGGACTAGATTTGGTTCCAGGCTGTATTTTGTCAAGCTCTACTTTAAACTATGGTTGTTTAAATTAAAATAATTTTTGATGTCACCTCATTTCTCTACCCCTTCTAAGCCCTTGACCTATGGGAAGATACCTAAAAGGGGCACAACAGTGCAGTGGTTCTCAATCTTTTGGTGGCAGGATTCCTTTAGTCATTTAAAAATTAATGAGCACCTCAAACAGCTTTTGTTTGGGTGGGTAATATCTATTGACATTTATCATATCAGAAATAAAATAAGAGAAATTAAAAATGATTAATCATTAAAAACAATAAACTCATTAAAGGTTAACATGACTAATGAAATTATAATTTTAATGAAAATAACTAATCAAAAAATTAGTGAGAAGAATGGTGTTGTTTTATATTTTGTGCAAATCTCATTGATGTCTGACTTAAAAGAAGATAGATCCTCTTAACTGCTCAGCATTCAACTGTGTTGTACTGTTTTGGTTGAAGTATTTGAGAAAATCTGGCCTCACACAGACATATAATTGAAAAAGGGAGAGGTATTTTCATAGCCTCTTCTGATGAGAATACAAGCTGTCAAGCTCACAGTGGTGAATGCAAGTTTTCCAAAATTCTTGTTCTCACTTATAAGTTCCAGTTTTATCACTGGCAATGAATGCTGTCTACTTGTTTTCCTTGAAATGACAGGTTCCATTTCATTCACTTTCATGAAAATGTCTGTCAAAATCCCAAGTTTGAATAACCACAGCTTTTTTTAGTGATCTGTCAACTAAAACTGGTTTAGCTTACAACTCGAGTGCTTTTCCTGAAACAGCCATCATAGTTCAGAATGCAGCAAAAGGGCTTGATATGAGTATCTTCCATTTTATTACACAGAATATTAAAATGATGCATACTTAGGGTCAAAATTTAGTAGAATTAATAATTTTACTGATTCACCAAGCTTATTTTTAAGTGAAACTGACTTTTTCTGCGAGTGCATGGCAGTGAAGAATACAATCATTATCTGTCTATTTGGGTGTCACTGCCTTGATCAGTGCTAATGCACTGGCATTGTTGCCCATTACAGCTTTTGCACTAACAGTGTAAATGTCAACACAGAGAAAAAGTCAAAAAATGTTTCAATATTCTCATGAAAATAATTTTCATCTCATGGGACCCCCAGGGTCCTCAGACCACACTTCGAGAATTGCTGATGAGGTTTAATATATTTATACTCATGCAAAATCAATGGTTAATGTACCTATCTGTCTGCAGTGCCATATGGTGTCAATGTGAGCCTTCTCTTTTTGGCTCATCTTTTTCCTTTGTTAGGACAGAATTTGGATTCAACTGTATAATTACACACCTGAAAAAAAGGTTTCTCTATTGTTACAAAAGGAAGAAAAAGGTTTTTAAGAAAAAATTACAATTCTTACAGGAAGGTAAGGTGCCAGTGCTCCACAAGATTCCGCCACAAGCAATCTTCTTTCTGGGTATTTGTGATTAATCTAGAGTAAAAAATAAATAAACCAAGCATAAACAACATACCCTCCCTTCCTCCAATAGAGAATTATTTTTCACCATAAATCCTGTTAGGAATGCAATAAAGCTTCTTTCTTTTCCACTTCGGGGATCCCTATACCTGGATCAGGATTAAGGGAATCAGGGAGAGCCTAAAAAATGAGGTCACAGGGGTTACCTGTTAAAGAGAAAGAAGATAAAGCAAAGATGAAAATATGGCAAGGTGTCTAGAGATTGTGGGCTTGCCCAAGACTAAGCTTTCCTTAGGATGTCAGGAGCAACCTTCTCCTTCCCTAGCAACATTAGTATATTTTTAAATTTGGAAAACCCAGCTTCTAGATATTTACTGATACAGTCTACAATATGTGCCAGGAATGATTCCTCCTTCCTCTTTTTTTACCTCAGGGATTAGGACGTAAATTAATCGATGATTTAACCAGAGCCCTTGACTGGTGTTATGATTTTGTTTTTAAAGTAAGCAGACGTCAATTCATTCCCGTTTGCATATGTAAGATGATGGGGGTTTGCTATTGTAATGACTACACTGAACCATAACAAAAAATAACAAAAACAAAAAAAATGACACATACTGGGTTTTGTTCCCATATGTCTTCTTCATAGAATATAAATCTTTCTTTGACTGGAAAAGAAGTGTATCTGTTCTCATATTCCCATATGAAAAGGTGACATAATTCATTAATGTATTGGATGCCTAAAATTAAGAAAAGAAATTATGTAGCAATCTATTGGGCAACAAACTGGAGGTAGGCGGCTAGATAGATCACCAATATCCATGTTTATTCAGGTTACAGAAGAGGTGGTGGTAGAGACGTTGGTAACTGACATCTCTGAATAAAATTTAATCCAGAAATAGTAACCTCAAAACAAAATGGTTTGAATGTCATAGTATGCAATATGTAAACTTCGATTTTACTTTCCTTTAGTCTAGCAAAATGAGTCTCAAAACTAAATGTACACACAACAATCAACTGTATTCCTATATATTGGCGATAAACAAACAGAAAGTTTAAAAAATTCTATTTACAATAGTATTAAAAAGAATAAAATACTCAGGAATAAATTTTAAAAGTGCATAAGTGATATTCTGAAAACTATAAAACATTACTGAAAGAAATTTTAAAAGACCTAAATAAATGGAACGACATCCTAAATTCATGGATTGAAAGGCTATTAGGATGGCAACATTCTCCAAATTGATCTACAGATTCAACACAATCCCTATAAAATTTCAGCTGGCTTCTCTGCAGAAACTGACAGGCTGATCTTAAAATTCATACAGAAATTCAAGGGACCCAGAATGCCTAAAACAATCTTTAAGTACAAGAACCAATTCAAGGGGTTGGGGTTTCTTTGGGGGGTGATAAAATTCTTCTAAAATTGACTGTGGTGATGGTTGTGTAGCTCTGTGACTACAAAAACCACTGAATTGTACAGTTTAAATAGATGAATTGTATGCTCTCTGAATTACATCTCAATAAAAGTTAAAAGAAGAAAATGGAAAAAACTATTTAAAAATTGCATATACATATGTATAACTGTACAGAATTGTAAATTCAACGTTGTATATGTTGTTTCCAAGTTAATTTGACTTTTCAGTGGTTACAGCCTAACCCTAAATTAGTATGCACTATAATCTCTAGATGACATATGGATTGTCAGAGATAATATGGATATATATAATGTTCCCTTTTAAATAATGAATCTAGATATGATTCCACTAAATTCTAAAGAAGAAAATGAATACTCAAAGAAAATGGGAACAGAATTCTAAAAGGCCATAAACTTTAGCGATATTCCAGAGGCTAATAATTTTTCTTAAGAATAAGTGACAAAGCTAGTATAAATAAGGCCATGCAATTTGTCTTCATAAGTAAGAAATCCATCTTTTTAAGATGGAAGAATAAGTTACTTAATGACCTAAATATGGAATCTAGAAAGTCAAAGATTCTGAGTTCTAGCGAGGACTGGAATATTACAATTCAAAATAAAACCAGAAGTATTGTTAGTAAATAGTGAGTTGAAATATAAATATATATAAACCTCCTACATCAAAGGTTTACACTTTATATTCTGTATATACTTGTAATATATACAAGTATACAATATATACAGATACGATTTCTATTATCTACCTACCTACCTACACATACACACAACCTCTTGCTTTCCCTTGAACTCATTAGTTTGTATATTTTTCATATTTTGTATCTCACTTGATTCAGATCCTTGAACTCAGCAATTTTTGTATTTTGTCTCATTGGATTCAGGTTCTTGTCTAAACATCCCTTTCTCAGAGATTCCTTCTCTGACCACCCTTTCTAAAACAGTACTCTCTATCACTCTCTAACCCTTAGCCTACCTTTTTTTTTCTTCATAGTTTATAAATTACAAGACATCGTTTCATTTATTTGTTTACTCTTACCTCTCCACTAGGATGTCATTGTCTTTTATTCACCACTGTATCCCTAGTGACTACAACAGTACCTGGCAGTGGAAATAGTGTTAAGTATTTGTTGGAAGAACGAATAAAGCAAAGCATCCCAGAGCTTTCTTAAGGACTATTAAATCACTGTGCTGGGTTATAGAAACAGTAGCATAATTTATATCCCACATATTTCCTAATAGCATTTTTAAAAGATAATATGAACATTTATAATAAATTAGAATACAATAGCTAGGGAAAACCCAGTAATTTACCTGTTCCCAACACTGTGGTAAAAGTTCAGCTTCTACACGTGTTGGACCAACATGACGTGCAAATGCCACACAACCCGTCAGTATCATTTGCCTGAAAAATAATACAGATGAATAAAGATTCGTATTTGCATAGAAAGCACAACTAGGACAAAGGGTTAAAAAGAGTCAGCTCTAATTAACATGAAGTACAATATTTTTGCACAATTTGTACAATATTTTTGTACAAATTCAACTTTTCACAATGGACGGGCTGCCACCATCCAGCAGTGGCAAAACCATTTGTGAGAGATGTCGTGAAGGGATTCGCTACTGGTGTGAAGCTGAATCTCATAACCTCCTAAGTTAACTTCCCACATATACATTCCGAGATTATAATATGTTTAAAGCTTCAGTTTCTAATGAATTTCAGTTTCTAGCTACTAAAACAATCAGTGATTATTTTCCCAGTATTTCTATAATTAAAAACTACGATGTCATATTAGTAAAATGATATTTCTTTTTTTATTTAAAAAAATTTAAAATTTTTATTGAAGTATAGCTGATTTAAACTTATTTATTTATTTATTTTTAGTTGCATTGGGTCTTTGTTGCTGCGTGTGGGCTTTCTCTAGTTGCGGCGAGTGGGGGCTGCTCTTCGTTGTGGCGCGCAGGGTTCTCACTGCGGTGGCTTCTCTTATTGCGGAGCACGGGCTCTAGGTGCAGGGCTTCAGTAGTCATGGCTCCCGCACTCTAGAGCACAGGCTCAGTACTTGCGGTGCACGGGTTTAGTTGCTCCGTGGCATGTGGGATCTTCCCGGACCAGGGCTCCGACCCGTGTCCCCTGCATTGGCAGGTGGGTTCTTAACCACTGAGCCACCAGGGAAGCCCAAAATGATATTTCTTAAATGAGAATTTTTGGTATTGCACCCAAGATAACTGTGGTAGGCAGCTTCTGACATGGCTCCTAATGAGGTCCATCTCCTGATATTCATGCCCTTGAGTAATCCCATCTCCTTGAGTGTAGACTGGACCCAATGATTTGCTTCTAATGAAAAGAATAATGGCCAAAGTGATGGTATGTCACTTAGGAGATCAGATTACAAAAGCCTGTGATATCCATCTTGTGAGACACTCTCTTCTGCCTTCTCAGCTGGCAGGCTTTGATGAAGACACTGCTATGTTGGACAGTTTCATGTGGCTAGAAACTAAAGGCAACTTCTGGCCAAAAGCCAGTGAGGAACCGAGTTTCCCAGTCCAAAGATCCATAAGAACCTGAATCCTGTCAACGACAAAGCTTAGAAGCAAATCCTTCCCCCATGGACCTTGAGGTGGCTGTAGCCGCAGCCAACACCTTGACTACAGCTTTATAAGAGACCCTGAAGAAGAAGACCCAGATAAATTGACCCACATAAACTGTGCTATTTTAAACCACTTTCTTTTGGGGTAATTTGTTATGAAATAATATATAAATAACTAATGTGATAATTTCATTTGAATTGATAGATTTATAATTTAAAATTTTAAATAAGATTTTTCACTCTTCAGAATGAAGTTCCATTTAAAATGACTCTCAAAGGCAGAATTGCAAGTTTTTTTTCTTTTGATTGACTATGACTTCAAAACAGTAAAACCTGATTTAAAAAAAAAGTATGTTTTCCATAGATGTTTCAAAGTAGCCAACTTTAAGGAAAACCAAAATAGAATGTTTAATTCATACTAATTATAAAAGCCTAGGCATTACTCATTGCTATTTCTCAAAATACATCAATTTAACTTAAACTGAATAATGACCTTACATTTCTATTTAGTTCAGCCAAGTTAGCTACAACTGTTCTCTCAGGCTGAGGAGAATAATAACAGACAAAAAGCATCTGGACAATGAGAAGGGAAATGTTGAGCCAATAAGTCTTCATTGTATATTGCAGCTTCTCTTCACCATAACCTTGTAATTTTTATCTATCTGATTTCCCTTTATATCATTGTCTTCTATGCCTGTTTCTCAACTTTTCTTTTGTTTTTCTATTTTCTCCTACTTTAGGAAGGCAAATAAAGTGAATAAAAGAAAAATAGATAAAGAAATTCCCAAGCTTTAAGACAACACGTTAGCTGCCTGTTCCCACTGAAAATTTCCAAATGTCTGATCATTTTTACCCCTATAGTATATTAAAATAATGAGAAATCATATATGTAGGTTCTAGAAAAATCTGATAATTATAGTAAATGAACTTTGGTGAAATTTAAGCATTTCAAACACACATAAGAAGTATATACTTATATAAGAGCTTCATGTAAAATGACTTTAAATAATGAGTCACCATCACTATACTAAAGATGTACAAACTTGTTAAAAAAATGTTAGTCCCCTCAAAACAAAATTCTTAGTCAGCAGAGTTAAGATTCAAAATTCTAAAAAACAGGACAGTTTTGAAATACATTTGAAAACAGAAAAGATCAGACGGTCTACAGATTATTAACAGCACTGGAAACAGGCTCCTGTGATAGGAAAAATAAACACTGTTCCTACTTGTAGAAAATCATAGGATAGGAATTATTTGACACAGGTAGAAATATGGTGTTAGTTATGGCTGTTAGCATAGAACTGCCAAAATGCACTACTATCGCTCATAAAATTAAGTTTCTCTTAGGATGCAAGGAAGCTTGAGATTCATTAAGTAAAGTAACAACTGATTATATGTCAAACATATCATGCTAACTTAAAATTTTTGCTTTGTTAGTTTGTTATTCATATATATAGTTAATAAATTGATTAGTTTATTTTAATAAATAACTTTGTTTCTGTAAGGTGAAAGATTTAAGTGTGGAAATGAGTGTTTAAATCCTGACATATCTTGACCTGAAGTAAGGCTATAGGTACTTTTGGCCACCAGGTGGCAGCTGTTAGCTTTACATGCAGAGTCTATGAAAACAGGCTATGTAGAACTAGAAGTTGCCTTGCAAATCTAAAAATGACAATGTAATAAGTGGTATTTAATTGTTAACTAAGTTACCAAGATAGGGAATAGTATTTTTCAAGGAGAAAATAAAATATTAATTTTCCTATATAGCACCATCGAATTGTCCTTAGAAAATTTTCAGTTTGCAATGAATGGAACTTGATTGAATTTCCCTTATTTCCATTTGACTAGCATGTAGATTAATCTTGACTGGATCCTGGAAAAACATGTTTCTCTGCTTGCTCAGGTATATTTTGGTAAGGGTAGGAAAGAGATATATGCTTATAGAGTTTTAAAGTCTACATGACTTTTTATTCTCATAGTGGAGAGATTCCTTGTGTTTAAAATTTTGAGCTTCATTTGTCTTATGGTTCACTTTTATGATTTTCCAACATTCTCAGAAGAGGTAAAAACTGTAACAGTCAGTAAAACAAGTACTGAAATTATATAAAGTTACCTAATCATAATGTATAATTCTATTTTTTGCAAAAGTATAAGCAAAAATTATTTCTTTATTAAGATAGAAAATTACTATGTAGAAAAACATTTCAATAGCTCAATCTTATCCAACTGGTGCTTAGTCTACCTACCCATCCACTGAGATGTTTTGTTCACAGTCACACTTGCACAGCTTCACCTAGTATTTAAAGGTCTTACCTTCTGAGGCAGACCTCTATCACTGTTGCTTGATCAAAACCCATTCCCCTTTCTTCCAGAGAGTCTCTCGATGTGTGGCCCATCCCCCCCCCCACCATCAGGTATAACTCATTTCCCCATTCAGGCATCCTTGATTGTGGGTATTTGACTCAGGACTAACCAAAACACTGTATCCCTTTAGCCACACAGAAACTGCTTTACAGATAGCTCAGTGATGCAGACATTCATATATTAAATATTTTATTTCTTGTGAAGCATAACCATGAAGAGGCCATGCTGTATCTAGTTCATCTGTGGGCAAAAGGGGAAATATTTAGTTCCTGGAAATCAAATGTGAAAGATAAAAGCAAAGAAATATCGGAATTAGAAATCCAAAGGTAACTAACACAAAAGTGTACAAATTCAACATGAGTAGTTGGAATGACAAGAATGAAAACACTGCAGGGCACTGTGAACAAGGTCAGTGTTTCCACTGTTTATTAAAATAGATATTAGAAAGAAAAGATGGCATTTATATTAAAATGCTAATCATGATGCCAAATTAATAAGTCAACATTATATTTATTTACCAAAGAAGTGGTCATACCCACCTTTGCTCATCATCTGGTCTCTTGATCAAATTGAAAAGTATGTGGAGAAGCTGATCTCTCTCTTTAGGCTCAGGATGTAGGCAGGCTGTACACAATATGAGGGGGATCAACTCCTAAAGAAATATGAAGGTGGAAAAAGTCAAAGTAAAAATGCATTGCAGAATATTCTTTTTTTCCCCAATGTATTCTTAAATGGACATTTAAAATGAAATAAACCTCAGCGTATATAGGAGCAAATTTTAACTTTGTAAGGCTGATAATTCAAGAGAAAACACTGAAACATATATTTTTATGTTGGTTGTGCAGAAGATGCAGATCACAACGTAATAAAGTAACTTAAAATTCAAATAACCTTGTTTTCTTATCCAATACTTCCCAAGGGTCTATTAGTTTTTAAACTAAATAACATTCTATCTTACTATAAGCTGATATAGTAGTTTTAATTTTGTGGGGTTTTGGGGGTTTTTTTTGTTTGTTTTTTTGCGGTACACGGGCCTCTCACTGTTGTGGCCTCCCCCGTTGTGGAGCACAGGCTCCGGACGCGCAGGCCCAGCGGCCGTGGCTCACGGGCCCAGCTGCTCTGCGGCATGTGGGATCTTCCTGGACCGGAGCACGAATCCGTGTCCCCTGCATCGGCAGGCGGACTCTCAACCACTGCACCACCAGGGAAGTCCAGTAGTTTTAATTTTGAAAGTGTTTTTAAACAAACACTTGCAGAAGTTAACTATACTTTAAAACTTAAAATGATAACAGAAAATAAAGACAACTTGTCCCACTTCCATAAGCACAATATAATCTTTCTTAAGATTAGATATAATTAATAATTTTGTAACCTTAGCACCTAACCTAGTGGCTAATTTTAAAGACCATTTCCACAGGTGTTGAATGCTCTCAGTACAACTACAAAATGTTAGTAGAAATGCTTTATGCTGAAATGAAAATTTTTAACAATATTTTGTTTGTTGCACTTTCAACATGCAGAGGTAAATTCAATATTTTCAAGGAAAGTAATAGACAAAAGTTTATTTCTCTCTTCCAAAGAAGTATTTGAAAATTAAAGTTGTTTCCCATTTTAATTAAATTAAGACTAAATTCTAAAATATATTCAAAGGATATTAATGTTTTTCATTTTTGGAATAGATTTTCAAATCTAATGAAATAAAAGTCCAAAAGTGATAAAATATTTTTGGAGAGAAATCCTCTAACTTACTTTGCAGATATTTTAAAGAAATCACTATGATGTAATAAAAAGGGTAGAATGATTACTCCCATTTCTTTTTCCCATCTGCCTCCCTACCCACCAAAAAGTACTAGCAGATTTAAAATAGGAATTGATCACTGCATACTAATACATGGTACCTTGAAGAAAAGTCTACACTGTAGGAGAAGTATCTTCCTATTTTGAAGATGCTCCCTTAGAAACAGATGATATGCTTTTTAGAGGAGTTGAGACTGAAACTTAAAGGCGTGACTAGAAGTCCTTTCCATTATTTCTAACATCTTTATATATTACGCTAAAATTATAATTACTCGGTATAATTCTAAATTGAAAGTACAAAGATGTAGATAAGAAGAGCTAAGAATAAATCTGAGAAGCAAAAAGAAATTTAAAACATTTATTCTGCCATCTTTCTATTTAGGCACCTCTGTACATTTTAGATTAGTGAATAACTGAAAAGCAAAAGAAATAAAAAATAATTAGGGAAAACAATTTTGCACTGGGAATGGAACAGTATGCGTATGGATCCTATATTGTTATATAATGTTTCCACAGATGCTTAATATGTTGCTTGATGGGTAAGTCTTGACTTTGGAGGAGAAAATAAACAACCTTTTATAAAATATTAGGGTAGAAGACCATTAATATCAAGGATCCTTAAGGATTCCATTGAGGCTGCTAGGAGCCAATGGTACTAATAAGAGGACTAAGACTGCACATCAGCATATCACACTGAGAGTAGAACTTTAAGGATGAAAAAGTAGTTATTCTAGAAGGCACTAACAAAAAGAGAAAATATTTTAATGCCTGAAAATCAAAAAGACCCTAAATATTTTATTTGTACTTTCCCCTCATGTCAGACCTTTGTCTCCCATGGGTTTTCTTGCTTCCTCATAACCCTTCTTCCTGCTTTCCAATCATCTCCAAATATACGCTCTTACATTATATTATTCCATTCTCTTCCTATTGTATTACTCTTTTAAAAAATAAAGTTATGAAATGTAGGTGAGATATTTGCTATAATTGCAAATACATGCATATACACTCTGTTTAAAATATAGAACAATAAATAGCTTCTTTATCTCCATAACAAGTATACCAAAATAGCTGTTGTTGTTTACTTTTTGTGCCTCACATTTTCTTTTCCTTTTCTCTTTATTTTAAGATCATGAGGCTTAGTAATTCTTAATCGAAGAGGAAGTTTATGTGATACATTAATATAAAGAATCTTTTAACTGGAATATGGCTATAGATGTGCTAAACCGAGAACCCTGAACTTGGAGGAGCTAGAAGGGCTCCTGCCTCAATACTTAGTACCAAAGAACCTAATGAAAACCACGAATTTCTCTGATTTTTAGTTTCCTCAAGTGAAATATATAGGAATTAATTATGATTAGTGCAGAAATCAAAAATTCTTTATATATATCTTTACATATATTTCTGTATTTTTCTTATCTATGGCTAATGGGATTGTTAATTTTTCCTTCTGAGATCAAAGTTGGCCTCAAAAAGCCTTCTCAGCACAGCAGCCATTACCAGCCAATCCAAACTGACACATGGGAGCAAAACGATTTGTCAGTCCTTGTCTCCTTGAACTCTAAAATTATGCTCAGTCACAGTTAGTAATAATTTATATTGCCATCTGTTTTTATTTATTGCTGGCTAAATCAACAAATATGGGAAGGCATTGCAAATAAGTTTTGGTTGATAGCTTATGGTAAGGAGAACTGGGTACAGCCTGGCACATTAATGGCTATGGCAGTTATAACCCAGTGTATAAAGTATGCCAGATGGTCTCTTCTTACAGCAACACTGAGCTGAGAAGAGGCCCAGAAAGTGATGGTAGAAAAAAGTGGAAAGTGTAGTCTGTTTGTGATAGAGCCATCAAGGATTTTAATTGCTAAGTTCTGACTAGCTCCAAATATCCTAATTTCCTCTTCCTCTATCATTCATTTATTTATTCACAACTTCTATTTGTACCATTCCTGAAATAATGAATTCTGTGTTAAGTGTGTATCTGCTGTGCTGTATATCACTTATTTATTGTGAATTCACCTTTTTCAAGGCTCTGAAGTACTAATTCATCCATTTAAGACCCTATTTACCATTTTCACACTACAAATGACCCTTGAACAACACGGTTTTGTACTGTGTGGGTCCACTTATGTGCAGATTTTTTCCCTTAAGTATGTATTACAGTAGTACACAATCTGTGGTTGGCTGAATGAAAAGTTATACTGGGATACTGAACTGTGTGTGGGTCAGCACCCATAACCTCTGCATTGTTCAAGGAAGGGTCAACTGTATTTATAAATTTATAGATTTGAATCAATATTCTCCCTTTGGTATCATCTCTCCAACTGATGAAGTCTAGTGTTTAAAAAACTTTCCTTATAAATAAAACATTTAAAAAATGGTGGCTAAATTTTCTTCAGAAAACAATGTGATAGTGGTTTTGAAAATGTCTTTGAATAATAACCATGGTAAAATAATACTTATAGCTTTGGTAACATTATATCCAAAAAGAATCCCTTGCCCCGCAAAGAAATTTTAAATATTTTCAAACATACTTTAGCACCTGATAGTACTCAATTAATGTGTATTGAAGTGAAATACAAAACTGATCTACTGACCATTAGAGAGGAAATCAGTGTAGTAATCCTATTGCAGAAGGTATTCCAGTACCTTATTACCACAATACTAGAAAACATATTTCCAAGGCCTATAGAATTCATTAACCTAAAGACTTAGTAATTTGCACTTTACTCAAGTAAATGACTTTTGCTTTAACTATTTTGATTTTTGCAATTTTAACAACAATGCTAGTTCTCTCTATATGAAAGCTCTTCCACTCCTCCTATGAAATTTTGTACAGAATTAAACAGGAAAGACTTCCAGGATTTTCCTTTCAGTTTTCTTTTTTTAAATATTTATTTATTTAATTTATTTATTTTCTTTTGGCTATGTTGGGTCTTAGTTAGAGCACGCGGGGTCTTCGTTGAAGCGTGCAGGATCTTTCGTTGCAGTTCAGGCTCTTCGTTGTGGTGTGCAGGTTCTTCTCTCTCTAGTTGTGGCGAAAGGGCTCCAGAGCGCGTGGGCTCTGCAGTTTGCAGCACATGGGCTCTCTGGTTGAGGCGCGCGAGCTCGGTAGTTGTGGTGCTTGGGCTTAGTTGCCCCGAGGCATGTGGGATCTTAGTTCCCCAACCAGGGATCGAACTGCGTCCCCTGCATTGGAAGGCGGATTCTTTACCACTGGACCACCAGGGAAGTCCCTTCTTTTCAGTTTTACAAGTAAAACAAAATAACTTCTAATAATAATAAAGAAATCACTTTCAAGTAAGATTAGTGTGTGTGCTCAGACTATAAAAACAGAAGGAAAAAGAAGTACCTAAACAGGATCTAAAACAATGTGAGTGATCAGATGTTAAAGGGGAAAGAAATGAAGTAGGAAATGAGATCAGGCAAATTTTAAAAGTAAAAAAAAAAAAAAAAAGCATGGATATGTTGATAAGATAATGGCTCCAAAATCTGAAAGGAATCTAAACCATAAAAAGAAGTATTGCATTTAGATCAGATGCCAAGGAGGAAATGTTTGAGTACTTCAGGTCAAGAAGCAAAATTCTATAGTTCTAGAAAGGTGACGTTAGTCCAATTAATTATAGTTCACTGCTTGTCCTCACTGTTCCACTAAAATTATTTCCTATAACCCAAGCTTCGTTAAAAATTTTAGATAGGGGACGTCCCTGGTGGTGCAGTGGTTAAAAGTTCACCTGCCAATTCAGGGGACACAGGTTGGAGCCCTGGTCCAGGAAGATCCCACATGCCGCAGCGCAACTAAGCCCATGCGCCACAACTACTGAGCCTGTGCTCTAGAGCCCGCGAACCACAACTACT